TCTCATGGGGCAAATTTCCTTCAGGAAGAGAGTCACATGGGTTAAAAGCTAGAATGCAAGCTCTAAAGAGGATTTCTCTTTCGGATGCAGATGTTCACTTGAAATGTGTTTAGACTTTTTCCCTCTTCTTCTTAGAAGTATTTCCAATTAGGTGAAGCTGGTTCTCTAGAATTTAGAGAGCATGACTCAGCCACTTGTAAGGGCAACGCCACCTGCTCAGAGCTGGGAGGCCAACCAGCCACGTGCTCCTGCCAACAAATGCAATAATGCCTGTGTCCCTGTGTGACATGAGACCAGGAATGTAAGCGTCACTGTCGTCCCCTACCCATGCCTGCCTGCCACCGAACTGCTGTATTCAGAGGTCAGTAAAAAAGAGCTATGGTCTTTCCTCTCTCTTTGGGGGAGGGAGTTAAAGAGCACCAGACGTAATGTCATGATGGGTGTATGTGTAACTAGGGGAGAGAGAAAGGGAGGGAGAGATGGAGGGAAGGAAAGGAGAAGGAGAGAAAGGAGAGATTGGAGTGGAAGGAAAAAAATATACCTATGCAAAATGAATCCTTCACTTCCAGGTAGGTATTTGCAAAAAAGAAATAAAGGAAACCATTATGTGACATGGATTGGAAGTGAGGGACCAACACTGGAGGCAAGGACAAGGTTCACAAGGCAGCTGCTGTGGTCCAGGGACGAGAAGACAGAGACCCAAGCCTGGTAGTGGCACTGAAGAGAAGGAGATGCGGATGGACTGGAGAGGCACCTAAGGGCACTGACAGGGCATGGTAATTGAACCTTGTGATGTGCTGAGAGAGGAGTGTCAAGGATGACTCTCAAGGTTTTTATCTTGGGCAACTGGGTGGATGGAACCACGTATTGACTTAGGGACCCTGATGGAGTAACAGAGAAGAAAAGTGAGTTCCATCCGATTGTTCAGTTACTCAAATCTAAGCCACAAGGATCACATGGTCTCCACATACAAGCAGCACCTTGGCTCCAAACACATCTCCCTAAAGAATCCTTGGACTCATTTTCGGAGATTTTTAGGACTCATGCCCTCTTACATCTGCTTGTAGACTCATTAATCCATGCAGCTTACTTTGGATTGGGGCGGTTGGCATTATGGATTTGTTAATTGCTGATACAATGTACTTTCTCCGCAGGCCATATGTGAAGAGCAGCACTGGCATTCAAGAAATGTTAAATAATAATGTAAATGAGAAAAATTTCCAATCCCAGTAATAAATGGATCCAAGGAACATTGACGCAACTTGCAATCATCGGAGCTGTTTGATTGCCTTGTCACTGTGGGACAGTGACCAAAGTGATGTGAATCTAAATGTCATCTAGAAAGAATACTAAAAATATTATGGTGAAAATTAAGTACTGCAACCCTAGGAGCTGATTTAAAAATGAGAAGATGTATCGATTTACATCTGTGGATTTGATGATCGCCAAGTGCAACCAGCTGAATGTACTCACATTTTCCCTTTATTTTCCTCTCCCTTTGAGAAAATGGGTTCAGTTTTAAAGAGCTGGTCCAAACTGATGTTCCCTCAATCAGTGGTTCTTAAATGTTGCTACATATAAGAATCACTTGGGAGATTTTAAAACTATGACGCTTAGGCTCTATCCCAGATTAATGAAAGCAGAACCTTAGCGGGTAGTGCTAAAGCACAGCATTTTTTAGGCTCCTTGAGTGAGTCCACTGTGCAGCCAACTTTGGCCACCAAGACCTTGAACGAGCAGGATCTGCAGACCAAATGCCTTAGAAATACCTGGGGAGGAACCAATTAAAAGGGCAGGTGCCTGGTCCCATCTAAGACTTGCTGGATCAAATTATCTGAGGAGGGGAACCTTGCCCTCTCCATTTTAACAAACTCCCCGTATGATTTGTATGCAAACTAGAGTGTGACAACCCCTGCACAGGCCAAAAATCAGTGGTGGCAACTGTCATGCCTTTAGACACAGCATAAGTCTGTGTAAAAGAAAACAAAAGCCAAGTAAAAAGGAGAAATTTCAGCGCATCACCTGGACGTTTGATTTTTTTTTAGGGTTTTGTTTGTAGGGGGCTGCCCTACAAACTGTAGGGCACTGTAGAATATTTAGAAGCATCCTAAATGCCTCTACCCACTAGATGAGGATAACACCACCCTTCTCCATGGTGACAATCAAAAATTGTCACCAGGTATTGCCAAGTGTCCCCTGGGGAAGAGATCACCCCTAGCCAAGAACCACTGCTCTAAAAGATGCCAACATATGGATGGTTCCATATCTTCCACTGCTTGGAATTATGAGCAGCAAACATCCTCCTATTGACCAGATATGTCTACTTTGAATGAGATGTTCTGAATTTAAACAGGCATAGTGTTTGACAGAGACATGGCACAGGCTGCCAGAGAAGGCGGGATAAACTCAGTCACCAGACCCTGAGTGGTCACTAATGATGTCCAGCTGCACTAGGGCAGGGATCCTTCGGGCTGCTGAGTTATTAATGGGCAGAAAATTAATAATTAGGTAAAAAGCGACTTTTCACCTAGTCAAGTTGGCTGTGAGATGACAACAGGAATGGGCTTATTGTTCAGTTAAATTCAGTTAAAGGGCAATTTGTTTCCATGAGTCATGAATTCCTTCTTATACTGAGTCAGAAAATAGATAACATCTCCACATGCAAATAGTGTTCATCCCGGTGAAGGAGGCAGGAAAATGTATTTCCCTCCCCCTCCAGGACCGAAAGGCTGTTAATTACTGTTCAAAGGAGACTCTTCCTTAGGTGGTCTAAAACTCCAGATCCACTCTGGCTTCTTCCACAAGGCCAGAGTCACCAGATGAGCCAAAATGGTTTTGGACATCTTTAAGACAAAAATGGAAAAATGTTTAATGACTTCACATGACTGCTATAATGCCTCACCAGGAAATTTTGAAATTCGTATCAGATAACTGAATTGGCAACTCACACCATACATAAGCACTTATGCTGGGCAGGTAGTAAGACAGAGGGGTTACAAATGAAAGCACCACAGTCAGAATATCCATGTTTAAATTAGGTCCATACGTGTATTTGCTACGGAGTAAGTGAATGAATTTATCTCAGCCTCAAACTCGTCATCTGTTAGGTGAGGGTACTAATAATATAGATCTCATAACGATGCAATAAGCATAAAATGAAATAATATATGTGAACAGCACTTCACACAGTGCCTGGCATATAGCAAACTCTTATTAAATTGTGGTAATTATCCTTATTTTAATTAAACTTCATTTATGAAATCTGATAATAGATAATTTTACTTGTTATTATAACCCAATAAGAAAATTTTAGACATTGACGGGATATTACAGGTGCCATGGTTCTATGTGCTCATTTTGCAGATGAGAAAACTGAGACACAGAAATGAGGTATGATAATCCTAGATTTTTGCAGAACAGGCTCTAATACTCAGACCTTTAGAATCTACGTGCAGTGCTGATGTACTAAAAAGAGGAAGAGTTTGGGCACAGAGTATCTGGATTTGCCACTTAAATTCACATTCAGTTTCATCATCTGCAAAATGGGTGTAAAAGTAGCTAACCTGAAAATGTTAGAGCAAATGAGACAGAACGTACTTTATAAACTGCAGAATACCACACAACTGATATATGATATTATGATTTCTTCTTCCTTAAAAAATGCAATGCAAACATAGACCATGGGACACACATAAGCCTCAAAATACCATTCAAGATCATTTTAGGTAGTTTTTCAAGGCATAGGGAATAGGTCTGACCCAAGCAAGTTATGGCCATTTACTCTCTGCTCTGCTTCAGCGCTGAACATGCCCAAAGCAGCACCTTGGACAGCAGCCAGAGAGGCTTCTTTCCGGCACCAACAGCATCCTCTTAGCACTTTCTTACCGGCTGCAAGCTGCAGCAGCCTCACAGAATGACGGTCATGGGGAGACACAAAAACTCCACTCCACCTCCACCCTTGTATGCTGCAAGTTCTGAAGGTGGGTGTCCACATGGAATCAGGGCTTTCTTTGACCTTCACTGCTAGACCTAAGTACACTGATTGACAGCCTGTTACATTCTCTAGGAAGTGAAAATTGGCATTTTCACTCAGTCTACCTGTAAGTGAACTGTATATTTTAGGACATAGAAATATTCAAATGAATAAACTCATTCTGAAGCATAGAGCACACCTCCTTGCGAACTATGTGTAGTTCAACATGCTAGGATCAGAACAAACCACAGCAACAAGTCTTTAAAATGTCAATGTTAATTTGGAGGAGATACGGAAGGTGAAGAATGACATAAGGATAACACTGGAGATAATTGTACATCTAGTTTAAAAAGGAAAAAAGCCACCAATTTGCCATTTTACCAATTCACAAAGAGAGCATCTCTAAAGGACACAGGAAACAGGAGAGGATAAACATAATTTACAAAGAATCTAAAAGTGCTTTCAAGGAGACCTCATCATATAAATGATTCTACTAAGAGTCATTAATTTACTGATAGACTTTACTTGGTGTCTTTATTATAAATCATTATTTGAAGTTGGATTTCTTTCATGAGATAAATGTAGAGCAGAGGGGGTTTGCTGAAAATGTTGGACCTACTACAGATGTATGAACCCAACTTAAGCCAACCTATTTCACTCACTCCTTAAACATAATTTCAAAATTATAAAGCACCAGTTGCTTATTATGAATGGCTTGGTAAGGTACCAGGCCCCTAACGAGATGCCACTTAAAAAAGCAATTAATGATTCTCTTTACATATTGTTCAATCAGTTTTTTTCAATATGAACATGTTTTCAATGTCCACTAAACACCTGACTCAAATTCAGTCCTAATACATAGCATTTTTGCCCATTGTTAGGATTTTTAAACACACACCTTTTGACAGAGACTTTGGGAATACACAAAGCTTGCGGTTGGCTAAGGTGGAAGTTGTAGCAGAGATGAGGGGATGGGGAAGGTCACAGACATCGCGGAACACAAGCGAATACACACATAACTTCTTACCTCTTGGGCTCTGGATTTGCCTGGGTTTTGGGATTTTTTCTTTTTTTGGATTCCTTTTTGGTATCTTTTTTAGCCTCTGGTTCAGATGGGGAGGGAGTTTGGCTCCCTTCGGGGTCTGTATTTGGTGGCAGCCCACTAAGGTACACATGCATTTGTTGACTTTGGAGAGGGGGTGGTCGCATGGGGCATGCACAGAGTGTGGTCAGCCATGGGAGAATCGAGAGCACACATACATGCACAAACAAAAGAAAGAAAAAGAAGGATGCATCAAACAGCAAGAGCAAATGCATTCAAACTAAAATAATAAGCAAAAAAAAAAGGATGCAAACTTGCATAAGGAAAATCAGAACTGAAAAGAAAATAAGAAATCCAAAACTGTTTCCATGACAAGATGTATAAACCTAACTGTGAATCAAGTGGCAGTCTTACAATATGAAATCCAGACAATGTGTATCATAATTCATGATGATGTTTACCAGGGAGTTTACAAAAACACTTCATTATTTTATAACACTTTCTTATTCAGTAACATATGTAGAATACAGTGTGACAAACCAGAGAATATAATGCAACTTCTCTCTCTCTCTCTTTAAAGAATTCAGTCCAAGAGGCTGTAACAGATAGTCATCAAAGTGTACATATTTATAAAAAGCAGAATTATGCAGAGCTACTCCCCAGGTATCAGAGTTTTCGTGAATATCTTTGATGCAAATGAAAGGTCATGTGCTGGGCTAGCGAGCACGGTAACAATGGGAGGTGATGAAAACCTTGTTGCCTGTTAAATATTCAAACCCGCAATGCTATTGTTATCTAGCTCTAAATGTTGAAGTTGCATCTCATAAAATCTAGCCGTACTAGAGAGAGAGAGAAAAAAAATCACAGCACGAACCCCACAGATATTTCAGTGTTATAGCTTGCAAAGATGAAGATGACTGACAGAATTCTGATTCAAAATAAAATGCAGTCAATTCCGGATTCTCCCACACATGAATTTCCCCAGAGTAGCAACTTTTTCATCACAGGCTGGGTTTCTGGAGCCACTTCGTTTTCCCTGGCTGTGCCTTCCCTGGCTATTGGTTGGGCTTCCTGGGGGAGGGGGGTGGTGGTAGTGGAGGCTTGTCTTTATAGTAATGTGAGGCTCCATGCACTGGGATGGTAAACTGGCTATGGCACTGTGGAAATTTATTCCATGTCTTCAAAGCCAAATGGTAATGTTCTTAAATTATTTGCTGCTTTGCATTATTCAGAACCTGGATCTTTTTCCTCCAGGAGCTGGGCAAGGTCTAAAGAAAGAAAATACTTAGTATGGAGTTAGGAGAACTGATGTTCCGGTCTTGTCTGCAAAACTTAGAAACAGAAGGGGTTATGATTACACTGTGATCTCTGAAGTTCTTCCCAGCTCCGTGGTTCACGATGAGCTTTGCTTTGCAGCTTCACCTAGCTTGTGTCTGATCCTGAATTTCCTCTGCAGAGCATTTGGACATGCTGCTTCTTTTGCCCAGAACCACTGAACTCCTCCTCCAGTCCTCAGTCCTCAGGGAGGCCCTGCCTGTCACCCTGCCATCCCAGCTGAGTTGCGTTTCTCTTATTAAATGCTACCATGGGACTTCATTCCATTTTCTCAGAGAGCCAATCTCTATATCACTCTGCCCTCGTTTGGTGTCTAGTTTTTGCTCACCATGGATGCTGACACTCAGCAAGTAATTGTTAAATATTTATGGAATGAATGATAATAACAACAAAGGCAAACATTTATTTAGCCCTTGCCATGTTCCAGGCATGGCGCCGAGCCCTTTATAACCACTTGCACCCTCTCAACAATCCTATGAGGTCATTATCAGCCCTGACTGACAGAGGAGAAAACTGTGGCACAGAGGAGGTTTTAATCACCAGCCCAGGTCATGGCTAGCAAATGGAGGAGCCAGGATTTGAGCCCAGACTATCCTAACTTCAGAGACCACTCTAGGAGTCCTGTTTGCCGCGTCTATTAAGTCTCTTGAAAGGAGAAGAAATTCAAACCTGTGTGTTCTTTGTGTTTGCGTGGCCGGTGTGTGTGTGTGTATGTGTGCACGTGTGCACACACGCGTGTGTCTGTACTACTGAGGGAATGGGGATGGATAGAGAGTGAGAGATGATACTAAAAGCAGGACCAATCATAAACCATTGCCAGTGTCTCAAAAAAAAATTTTTTTTGAAAGAATACTTCTGGACACGTGCTTACCTGTTCCCGTGGACATGGGACGCACAGAAAGCAAAGCTGTAGTGAAGGAGGGTGGGGTCGATCATGGCGCCATTTTCCGCCCGTTCAAGCAAGTCTCTGAGGTAGCAGAGATGGCGGTGACACCCTCGGACTCCATTTCGGGCGCAATACTCGTCTAGTACAAACACCTGGCCTGGACTGAACCAGCCCTATTTGGGGAATAAAGGAGAGACTTTCTTTTAAATACAGGTTGGTTTTTCTGGGAGAGCTGCTAGAGTTGGGGGTGACTGGAGAAGCGGGTAAAAATAGCCAGAGCTAACACTTACTGATTGCTTACGGAGTGCCAGCCACTGCGCCAAACTCCACGTGTGCTATCTGGTTTAACCCTCACAACAGCCCTATAAGGTAGGTACTGTGATCCCTCTTTGATGGATGGGAAATTGGAGCTCAGGAAGGACATGGTGACACAGTAAGTGATGGCATCTGGATAGCAGAGGGCATGATTCCACAAAGAGAGCCTCACCCACTGCTTTAACACTGAACCATACACTTGAAGAGTATTGGACTTGGGGGTAAGGTTAAGTCCTGGTTACCAATAAGAAAAAATAGTAATATTAATGCCTTACATGGGTCTAGTGCTTTATACATGACAACGAACTTCAGTTGAGCCACATAGCAACTTTGGAAAGTAGACATCTTCATTTCATAGATGAAAAAATGGAAATCAGAGCTGTTAAGTGACTCACAAATAATACCAAACAGGCAGGATTCAAACCCAGCTCTGTTTGATTCCAAGTCGTCTTATTTTCCTCCTTCTTCTTTTTTTTTTTAATGCTCTGGAGCATAAAGAAATACTAGGATTGGTCTACATACATGCCAGGACTTCATAAATCCTTCTACTTTGGAAGGAAAATGGTTTTAGATTTTAAAATGAAGAGAATAACATCACTTTCCAAAGAGAATAACATGACTAAGTTGTTAAGTTGTGAATCAGACATGATTCTATTAAACAGAGAGGAGCTTCTTGTGCCCTAGTTGAGCCTTTTCCCCTCGCCCCTCCTCTGGCAATTATTTGTTTTCTTCTTATTCATTTATTTGCCGCAGGACCACACAAAACTCTGCTCTAAAAGAGAACCTGGGTGGAATCTGTGATTCAGAGCTGACTGGGAGGTACGACGGGGTAGAAATTGTTGCCTCCGCCGTGCACTTAAGAGCCGCACAGAAAGCCCTAGGGACTTGCCACTCAAAGTCACCCTCGGGACAAGCCTGAAATCAAATCACTTCTTTCAGTTTGGGTACCCTTCTGAAGCAAGACATAAACCAATTTAGGTGGTACTTTGCAAGCTGGGAATTTAGGGTTGTCTTAAATATAAATTTAATTTTCCTTGGAGGGTCTTCTCTGAGTCATCTTTTGACTGTCACTCCATCTTGGGAGGGAAAAGGCAAAAGAAGAGAGGGACTGGGTGGCAGGTAGAGGCCACAGCGGTGCAGCCTGGGACGCCTCTGCCACACTCCAGTCTCGTATTAGCGGATCTGGGGAATCTTCGATTGACAACATGCAGCTCAGCAATGCATCCAACGGAAGACGGCATCTTTCCTATTTCAAATTATAAGTTACTGCAGAGGGCGGGAGAGTAGTCGAGGCAGTGGGCTGCCCCTATAGGCAACTTCTTTGCCACTCCATCTGCTACCCCAAATGCTAAATCTTAGAAACAACACTGCTGTGAAAGATTAAAATATATTTTCTACGACTCAGATGACACCAAGTCTTTTGTAGATGCCAAAATAGCTGCTTTGAAAAGAGTTGAAGAAATATCAATTAGGAACTCAGTCGAAGACACAGAAAAATTTATGTATCCCTGCTGGTCGGTCTCCAAAACTAACTGAAATAAAAAGATTGTAATAATGAGAAAATGGATTATATAGAGGCAGGAGAGAAGGTCCTTTTAATCGCTGTTATTTTCTGAAATTCTGGGAGGATGATTAATAGATACAGGTATACAAATGGGGAAGGAAATTATTTTATTCTATTTGTAATTAATTTTGGATTTTAGACCATATTTTTAGGCCTATATGTGACTAATAGGAAGCAAACATCAAAATTTCATTTCTGGTTTAATTTTTTAGAGGACATTTACTAACTCTCCTTAGTGATGAATTTCTTGGTGAAAAAGAAAATTGTTTTAAGAAATTATGCTTTGAAAAAAGTCTTGAAAATAAAACACCTCAAAAAAAATTTCCTCAAGAGACTAGGAATTATACATAAAAGCAAATGACTTAAGTTTGGAGGCATATTCTTACAAATTTCATAAATGCATTTTATAATTATGTGAATAATTACATAATCGTAGGAAACACATTTGCGAAAAACTGCCTTGCAATGCAAGGTAAGCTTTTTTTTTTTTTTAAAGTCAAAATGATGTGTTCTTTTCCAATTTGGCAAAGTTCAGATTCTTCTGATGAAGTGATTCTAAACCTGAGATAATCAATGAATCTTTTATGAGACGAAGATTAATAAACTATTCCATGTAATCCTGCTTCTGTTTTTAAGACTATTTTATTTGCCATTTTTAATATTTTGGCTTCTGGCACAGAAAAAAAAGGAATTTAAAACAAAAATTAGAATTGATTTAGGCTATAGTCCTGGCATTCAGAAAAAAAAACAGATTTTCATTATATTTTTGTTAATATCAGTAATATGTTATCCTTAGTTAATTATATAATATTAATAATAAATAAATATAGTCACCTTAGTACCCAGAGTCAGGGACGAGGCTTTCCCTCTGTGTAAAGTCATTTCACCCTTTCCCCTCACCTTTCCCATCTATAAAGTGGGATTAATAGCACTTATCTTTAAGAAATGTAATAACTATTTACGGTTTGCAGAAGGGAATGAAATGGGTCGTTTTTAGGCTTTCGAATTTGACAGTATAAAGCCTCAAATGTATCTTCAGAAATCCAATAAGGACACAGTAGCAGCCCTTTGCATTTAAATGATTTAAATCCAGGCTTAAGACAGGATTTCAAGAAATGCTCTTGCTGGAGAGCTGGACTCCTAAATGTCTAAAGCAGCAAAAGAAAAATTCCCCCCCACCAAGGGTAAAAAAAATGCTTTGAATGCCATGAAGAAAAAAAAAAAGCCACCCAAACAAGCCCAAACCCCTTTAGCTTATGAAAAGTGAAATGAATTTTATTTACAAATCATTTTCATCTTTTAAAAAAATAAGCAAAAAGAACGCTTTCATTTCTGAGACAGGAGCACAGGGTCTTATCGCGTGGGGTGGGGCGGGAGGGGGGGTCTCAAAAACTAAGAAACCGAAGCAATTTTTACAAGTTCTCCACAAGCAGGTGCCAAACTCGATTACCCTCTTGGGAACATTTCTCGAGTAGCAGCTGAAAAGGGGGAAGCTCAGATAGGGAGGCTGGGGAATTGGATCCGTCTCCACTGATAACTTCCTCTCGTTCTGTCTTGTTTCTTGGGTAAGTAAAACTACCCCAATCCAGGAAATCAAGAACACGTTTATAATTGTTAAAGGGGCCCAGCAAAGGCGAAAAGAGCTTCTGACATAAAGGTAGAGAAATATTTCACGTTTAAAAAAAATGGCATCATGTTTAAATTGCTGTAGACCAAAGAATATACTTGCCAGGCAAGAATAGGAATCATTAAGTCTGTGGTCCAAAGTAAGACGTTGCACCATCTCAAAGAGGGAAGCGTGGTCAAAGTTACAGGGGTTGGAAGAGATAAATTCATCCATGCCATGTTTTTGAGCTCTATCTGCGTCTGTTCATTTATACATGTAGAGAGAGACACAATTTAGAGAAAACACATCATATTTTCTTTGACATTTCAAATACACAGGAATTCACTAGGCATTACAAACGCTAGCTGTTCCCCTGCTGCCTCCCACCAACAGCCCCAACGTGTTCTTTTTACCTCCCATTGTCAACTTGCATCACTCACTGGTGAGTTTATTGCATTTAGGCAAAAATATATTGGCATCAACATGTTTATCAAATGATCACAACTCCAGTGCATTTATGTTGTTCTTTAAAAACTAAGCACACGACCGGAACTTCGCCTGCGTTTCACCAAACCCTGAAAGCAGATCGGATCTTTGCTTATAAAAGCCTATTTAGCTTTTAGGTTTTTAATAGATTCTGCCATTCCAGTGGTTATGTCTAGAGCAATTTCTCTACAATTATTGGGATTGTCTGGGGGGAAAAAATGGGGGTTATGCTGAGTTTCAGCAAAGTGACAATCTTTGTAAATATCCTCCCCCTTCCAAATCCCCGTTGCCAATTTGGTTTCACAAAAGGTTTGGGTCCCCAGCCTCCAAAATGAAAAGAAAATAATAACAAAAGATTTTCATTGAAACCTGGAGAATAAGTTAAACGGGAATTTAGTCTGTGATAGCCAAGGATGTGGCCTTACAGTGTGCTTACTCAGTGAGCAAAGCCTTATGAAAGACAAACAAATTTACTCAGCAAGGGCTGCGATCTGCCATTTATTGTGAATTAATAGTCTCAACGTATTCACACTTTTCCTTACAGGGTGAAGGCTGTAGGCAAAACCTCCTAAGGGCTAACTAATTAATCTCAATATGTGTGTAACTAAAATAGCCTATATTCAATCGGCAAAATAACTCAAGAGAATTCGACTCGGGTTGAGACCAAGCAAATCCCGAAGAGGTAGGAATGAAGGTCCTAGACGTTAAAGGAGTCGGCTCACTCCACCTCATAATTCACTCACTCTCCCAAAATGCAGACTGCAAAGTAAAAGAATGTCTTATATCAAATCGAGCAAGAGTTTATTCATTCCCTTGCATGCAATCTTCTACTGGAATACGGGGACCTGCCAGGGACCAGAGATGCTGTCAGGAACTCGAGGAAAATGGATTTCTGACTTGAGAGGGTGTGTGAATAATACTTCCGTACATAGCCTTCATCCCTGCTTGAGGTAGGGCTGAAAATGGGGGCTAGAGTAGCAGTGTGATGCTAAGATGATTTCTCCTCACGTTATTAATTTTGTGCATCGTTCCAGCCTAAACGCAGTGTGTCAGGTAGACGTATGCCCTCCTATTGTTCGATGTTTAAATCTTCAGCCATCTTCCGTAGAAGCAGCAAGTGGTCAGTGTTTGAAAAGGATGTGTTGTTTATGCCCAAGACACGCAGAACGACGGTTTCCAAAAGGCAAGTTGAAGAACGTGGATTTTAACAGCCAGATCAGTCCACTGGGACGATAAAACACCAGCTTTCAGAAGGGATATCACATGAGCAGGAATTATATTAGAGAAGCTGAAAGAATTCTCTTTGCTGGGTTAATTGTCTCAGATCTGTCTTCAGGGAAGTGCTTTCAGTTTGAGGTTCGGTGCTTTATCCAGGAGGGTTCTTTTGTTTGGTAATTTGGACTTAAAGCTAATTTTTTCCTTTGCCTCAGGGTGGCCAGTAAAAGAGGTGGCCAGGATGTTGGTACTTGGAAAAAAGCTAGCTGCTTCTGTGTGTGTGTGTGTGTGTGTGTGTGTGTGTGTGTGTGTGTGTGTGTGTCCTTGTCTCCTTTGGCCCAAGGCAAATGTCTTAAACCTAGTCCACCTTCTGATGTCCCCCTGCCAGACAGCATTCCTATAATCCAGGTGGTACCTCGCCATCCCTTAGGACAGATTCTGCCCTCTCACCTGCACCCTGCCAGTCCCAGGACAAACTAACAGTGGGGTCCACGAACTGCTCATCCTGTTTCATCCTCATAAAAAGCCTCACTCACTCTGTGTCTCCCAAATTGAACAGGGAGATGAGGCATTTGGGCTAGCACCAGCTTCTTGCTCTCGGATTTCTCAGAAGAGGCTGCAAGCTGACAAATGGGCCGGGCCCTTTACTTCGCCAGTTTGGCTCTGCTGTTTCATTGCTCTTTAACTACGATGCTGCAAATGGTCATTTCATTTGGAGAGAAGGGGGACTCTCTTATAGCTGTTAAAAATAAGGCCCATGTTTCAAGTCTCTTACTCTTATTTGCTGAACCTCCTGAAAACTTTGTGATGAACTATTTTGCTTGGATGCCCACTCAGGAAATGGATTTGAAAAGGGAGCTTGGCTCCTCTGCAGAGACCTGGATACAGACCCACTCCCCGCCTCTCCCCACCCATCATCACGATGCAGCTTCACTGCACTAATTCTTGGCTTCGAGTTCATCTAAAGAACAATTTCATTTTTACTTACATTTTAAAGCAGGGCTTTTAAAATCTGCTTAAAATCCACCTGTTTTCCTTTTCAGAAAGCCACCCTGTCAACATTAAAACCTCCTTTTCCTTTCCTCCTGCTTTCGCTCCATCAGTCCACACTGGAGAACAAGCTTGGGACTGCTTTAGGAGGTCCGGAGGCTGGTGTGAGCTCTGTTTTTTAAAGAGCTGTGGGATGCTGGCTGAGTGGTTGATCTCTCCGAGCCTCAGTTTCCTTGTGTATGAGATGAGCCCGTCAGTTCCCTCTCCACTGTGGTTGTCATTTAATAAAATCCTTAAGGTCCTTAAGATCCCTTCACACTTTCCGTGTGCGGGATGCAGCTTAATGCGGTGCGAATTTCCAGCAGGTAAAACGAGCTTACGCAAAATCACCATCTACTCAGCATCAGGCTCACTACCTTAATGGTTCCAGCAGCTCCGGAGGGCTTAACAGGATGGCTGGCTCCCATGAAATTTCTGGGAGCTTCATTGAGCTTATTATATTCGGCAAAAGAAAGAGGAGTGGTGGGCTGGGAGTGCTATTTTAAGGTGTCAGTGGAAGGGATGTGAGTTGTAAGCTCCATCTGAGCAGAGATTTTGAGATTTTTGTCTTCGGCCATGTTCCCAGCACCTGGGACCGTACCTGGGACACGGCAGGCACTCAAAACCTACGCGTTCAAATAATGAATTTATCTCATGGCAATAAACAAATTCACCCTCTCAACAAACAGGTTCTATTTCACCTGATTTTTATGGAATGTTGATGCACTAAGCCCAATGGGAACGGTTTATCTGAGCTCGGGTATCCGTGGCTCAGTGGGCAGGCTTGGCCCATCACAAGCACTGACGCTGAGGCCAGCTCTGCCACTCCAGGCTGCGTGACGCGAGAGAATCGATCAGCGTTTCTGAGCCTCGTTTTCCTCACGTGGAAGTTGGGGATGGTGTTTGAGTCTCCCCTCAAGGAGGGTGGTTGAGCGGATCGGATGAGGAGAAACTATAAACGTAGATGTCTGGCCCCTCCTAAGCACTCAGGACTCCTCAACTATGAGTTGAACGGGCAGGCTTCTTAGCGGTTCCTTAAGCCAGTTTGTTTAACATTCTAAGTGAGCCAAGAATGTCTCTCCATTGATAGCTAATGTTAGTTATAGGTTGTTTCTTAAACCATACTGTTTCTAGGAAGCTGGGAGCCCTTCCCAATCTCTCTGCTTTATGCTTCTCCTCTGGCCCTGTATCACCAACTCCTTGTGTTTTTGCTGGGTGATGTTCCAATTTCTCTGTGGTCAGAACACACACACACACACACACATGTACACACACTGAAATCCCTTGGTAGATGACATGGTCCTTGAGGGTAAGTGTCTGATCTGTGATACCCCCTGCCAGCCCAGAGGAGCCAGCTCCTTGGGAGGTGTTTATTAGCTGCCTTACTCTGACACCTCCATCCCAGGAAACTTCCCATTGACTTTATTAAGAGTCACACACATGGGGATTCAGATGGCATCTTGCAAATCCAAAAGTGGGAACATGTGCTCTTGGGGGGAAAAAAATCTTATAAAAGGAAACAGAATTCTAGGTGCAGGTGTCTTTGGATACCATTCAGATTGTCTGCCTGTGTCTCCATACATGTCTAGGACCATATGCATTACATATGTTGTCTATTTTAAAATAAAACACTGCAGTGGTCCAGCTGTTCCAAATTCTGTTTCAAAGAACTTGTGGGTGCTTCTCAAGCAACACCATATAGTCATTCTTGCACTGTCCCAGTCTGTTCCTCTTCAGTGCGGAACAGTTTAAAAAAAAAAAAACTCCTGGCAATCCCATTCTGCCCTGGACAAACAATGGGAATTGTTTGATTAGAGAAAAAGAAAACTCCAGTGTTGATATTAGCAAGGGGAAAAGAGCCCGGAGCAGAAGTATGAGAAAGTCAATCCCCGAATTCAGGACACCTCGGGATCAATTCCTTTGCCAAATGTTCGGCACGTGTCAAGAGAACGAAAATGAATGTGAACACTAGGCTGAGCAAACTAGAATTAGCAGAGTAAAGGAGAAGCTTAAATCTCCAGCGATGTTTGGATTATCTCTTGCTTTCTGGGAGTTGCATGCAATCCGATGTTCTTTTTTCATTAATATGTGTATTCTTTCATTATTTTTTTTTAAATTTAAGAAATCAAGGATTGATGGCATTTTTAAGAATTGATATCAATCTTTACCTTTTTCAGACCTGGCTGAATAGTTCCTAATTCCTGCTTGGTCTGTAATGGCTTCAAATACGTTGAAAATGGGTTACGTAATTTTTTAGGCTCTGGGGCTCGGGCATAATTCAACACATCTTCCAAACGATGCTACTTGTTTGACTTCTGCGGTTGAACTGCATGAAGATTTTGAAGTCCTTCATAGCATGGGCATAGGAGACTGACCTCGGACTAAACTTAGACAAATAAAGCTGATACTGGTACCCAGACTATATTTAGAAACTTACAGCACTGTCAGTGGTTATCCATGACACGGAAGCAGGCTGATGGATGTGCACACCTAGGGAAGGCAGGCATGCTTTCAAGGGGAAACTAATCAAAATTTTGACCCCCAAGTTTGCACAGAAACAATTTTGTTTTGGCATTTAAGGAATATTGGGGAATTAAAGGTTTCTAAAGTGATGCGATTATGTAGATTTCATACTCTCATTTAATCTATTTAAATTTCAAGTGGCCATCCTACCATTTATGTTGCTTTTTAATTGTTGATCTGGAGGTCTGGGTTCATTTCACATTTGATATTCTCGTCCTTTTTCTCCCTCACCCTGGGACAGCATATATCGTATTTGTTTTCACGATCTCTCGTCTTAATAGCAAGCTTATTTGTGTGATCTTGTTTCCGATAGAAAAGAATTTTGAATACGTTTGCAATAAGGTCTAGCAAATGGAATTTTCTTGGGAGTGGGGGGAAATGATACAGCTTTCAAATGCTCATTTTATGGAGATGTTCCTGTTACTCCAAAAGCTCAGGGATCAAAGACAAAAAGGTCAAAGCTCTCTTTTTATTTTGTACTATTACGTTTTGCAAATTTTTATAGGCTAGGGAAACAAGAAAATCTGCTGTTGAATGAAGCTGAGTGTGTTGTCGATAAAACTGTCTGAGAGACGCTCCTTTCTCTAATGAATCTCTTTTCTAATAAGCTAGAGGTAGCTGTTTCATCACTGAAATTCAGAGCACAGTTACGGCTGCCATTACTCCTCACGGATGCTGGAGGCAAGAGAATAGCTAATGTAACTCTAAAGTCACTGTGAACTCAAACTGCAAATTAAAAGGTGACTTTGTATCTTTCTTATATGGCAAATGTGTGCTTGTCATATCTGCTTGACAGTACAAGGGGGAATGCATGGTTTGGACAATAACGAGCAATGACAGTAGTCAACCTCATCAGAAGACATGAAATAAAGAAATGACAATGATTGATGGCAGCTGGCTGTTTACGGATTTTTCTAGAAGAGTGTTTCTTGGCATGAGCAAGTAACCAGGGGATGTTGTGACCTGCCTGAGCTCTGCACAGCAAGCAAAACATTGGTCCTCCCCTGCCTGCTGCCCTTGAGAAACGACGTCATTCTTTCATGGTCCCTTTGACTAAATCAAGCTAGCCTGCGTGGCCAAGAGAGGATGGTTGCTTAAGAAGCTATCAAGGGCCACACTGCCTTTTGTGGAAATCTCGAATTTAAAACTACACCCAGGGGGATAACCATGTGATGGTTATTTCTGTATTCATTTTTTTAAAATAATTCTTCCTAACACAAATGCTTTGAGTGAAAAATCCTGACAGAGATTTTTTTGTCAATGACCTCAAAACAAACACATGATTTGTAATTTTCCCTGCTGTCATCATTACATTTCAATTCATTTACAGAGTATTTATTTGCTGCTGTTTTTAGTTCCCTGCAACATGAGCAAAAATAAATTTTCTATAGTTGACTCATGCATAATTTATCTCACTATAAATCACTATAGGTCATGAAAATACTCCCTCGATTAGTGAATAATATGTCCAATGTGTCTGAAGTAGTTAATAGAGATGTGAATTTTAATTTTCATTAAAAATGGTCTATTGAAATCACATCATGGTATTTGGAAAATCTGGGACCTGATCGCGGGAGTCGATTTTCTTAAGAAGTCATTTGCTTGACGGTGAGAAGGAAAGTCATTTCCAGTGTGGTTTGGGGGTCATGCAAATTAATACTGAATTAATTCTCTGATATTCCACTCCTGCAATGTAGCAATTGCAAGTTGACAATACAAGAAGAAAATAGCGAAAGTCTCATGAGACAAAACTATAGAACGGAATTAAGGCAAACGACTGTTTGGAAGTCTGCTAGGATAGCAATGCGTTGTGCAAATACACGTGTATTCGCTACAACAAAATTCATTCAGTCATCTATGCATCCATCCTTTCTTTCAGTCTTGAAAAAAACAGTATAGCAAAATCCTATCCCACTTCGTTCACATTCTCTGGTAAGCTTTTAAAAATGCCTCATCAGACATTGAAAGGAAAGGAAAGTTAAATTAAGTATCTGCTTGGAGGGGTGAAAAAAAAAATCTGTCTGCTAGCCAGGGGCACATTTATGCAAAATAAAAGGAAGAAGAAAGAAAGGGGGGAGGGGAGGAAAGAAAGCAAATCAAAGAAAGAAACAAAAAGAAGAAAGAACTATTATTAAATGGTCAGGAGGAATGATGCGACCTACAGCTTCTAAGTTAGCATCCAGAATACTCAGGTACATATTTGCCTGCTCTCTTGACCAATTTTTTTAGCTCCCTCTCACGTCAAGTCTTCCCTCAACACATTTTTTTTTTTGGCAGACAGCTTTGTCCTCTATGAATAAAGGAACTGTGGACTCTCTTCCACTAAACTCAAACAGCGATGAGAACGATTTTTCTAAGTTGGAAAGTGTCTTTTTTTTTTTTCCCTCTTACAGGTGTATTTTTAGAAAAACGGATATCAAGACACATGATGTCAAAAAAAGTTTTTGTTGTCACTGTTCCTGGGAGAGGAGGAGAGACATATTTGAGACCAGAGGTCAAAACCCTCCATGGCATCGTGAGAGTGTGAACCTGCAGCTTTGGTGAGTAAGCTACATGAATTCAATCGTGCCCTTAATTTCCTGTTTTTTTTTGTGGGTGGTGGTTCCATGTATTGCAGCTCTCCTTTCAAAATTAATCCTCTGTTGGGTCTTAGAGCACACCCTCAAGCCAGGTAGAATGAATTCCTCAGTGTTCAAACAATGCATTTACTTTATTAATTGTATTCTGCCATTTCTTGCTCAGTTACCATCTTTGGGTTTCCTACCCCACCTTCCTATTTGTTAAGGTATCCATGGGTACCACCCCACTGGTTTGCTGACCATTCTAACCCTCGGAATTGGAAAGGAGAAACAACACCAACAGCACATCATCAGAGTGCAAAATGATCTGTTTTCAGGCATTAAGCAGTCAGGTAGCTGTGAATTCCACGAAACAAAGGCATTACTTGCCATTTCGTTGTGATGTTCATTAATATTCTCGGAATTAAAAAAAAAATTAGGAGATGTCAATGGTTGGCTTTACTCAGAGGATCATTTGATGCCAATATGAAAGCCAAGGAGAGGAGGCAATTATGCACACATCACATGCATCCTAGTTTCAGTATGGAAGCTTAACATTTCCAACCTAAGGTCAGGAAAATAACATGAGAAGTTGGACTACAAAGTCTAGACATGAGGAAGACTGAAGAGGAGAGGGAGGAAGCACATTGCAGGTGTCAGATAATCTAGTCTGATTATCTGAGCTGTGCTAGCTATCAGGGGAACACTTACCCTTCAGTCCAGCTAGAAGTTAGCAGGGTAAGAAGGAACAAACCAGAATAACATAAAGACTAGCAACAAGGCTCAGGAAAGCAGACAGGAGTTCTACCCTAGCAGCTACAGTTCTCGGGTTCGAGCAAAGATTGAACAAAAAAACTTAAAGGAAACCAAACCAAACCAAAAACCAAAATCAACCCCCCTCCCCCCCGCACACAAACCAACAGTCACCAAGGTTCCCCCTAACTGTTGAAGACGGTTCAGTGGTAGCAAAATTAGGACAGTTCTCAAAAGCATCCAGCTTTCGGGAATCTACGATGGGATTAACCGTTTCTAGTTGTGAAACAGACATTAAAATGAGACTCATTGCAAGTGACACAGCAAATAACCCCATTGATCAAGTGGCAAAGCTTAGAATACCCCCTCCTCCCACTCCGAATGAGAACGGAGGTACCCATTTTTCCTGTTCCTCTAAAACAGATTGGACAGAGATCAGGTGCTTCAATGAGAGGCCACTCGGCATCACGAATTGTGGCAGCACTCAACTACAGATTTGCACGTCATTTCCAAGGTAAGCAACATTGGCCTTAAACATTGGAAAATTTCAAGTATTTGTTTTCAAAAGTTGTACAGCTGGGCAATGACTTAATTTTTTCAAGTCTTAACTTAAAAAAAAAAAAGACGGGGTGGGGGCAGGGAATTAAATCAACAACAACACACACCAACAAAACCACAAAAGAACAGAAAAGTTTTAAAGTTTGGTGGAACCCTCCCCAAATCATTGTAGAGTCACATACAAATGAATGAATAGCAGGATCTATTTATTTTTTTTCAGTTTGTTCCAATTCCAAAGAAATACTCCACTCCATTCTTTCTTAGACGTGTCTTTGCATTTTGAAATTGAGCTTTTGAAATTGCAAAAATAAATAAATAAATAAATAAAAACTGCACGCAGAAGTCTGCTAAACTGAATTTAGAAAAGACCCAAATAAACTCACAATTACTCGCAAGTTATCCCAAACTGTAAAATGTTCCATTCTCAAGTTTCCCTTGATCAGACAGCGACATGACAAGACTGGAGTGTTTATTTTTCTCTATCCAAAAAAAAAAACAACCCAAAAAAACCCCTCTCCCATCTCTCTGTAGCTTCCCTTTGCCATGTAAATAACTAACAAAGCGATTACAAAGTTAACCCGTTGAAAAGTTGCTCTTAAAAAATCATTCACTTGCAAGAACACCAAATACTTCAGCAAATATTCAAAAACAGGGATTGATGAGATGCGCACAGAATTAAGTATTTAACAATGGCCCTTACCTTTGGGAAGTCAAGGAACTCTTTTTAAAATGCAATACTTGATGTTTTTTGTTTTTTACTCTTTTTGTTAGAGAGTCCGTGACTGACAATGTTTGTGTCGTGACAATTAAAATAAATCTATGTACAGACTGAGGTCCAAATATAAGTGACAGATCCAAGTTTGCCGTTTCTCACTAGGTTGTGATTGTTTTTCAATTTCCTCCGTAATCTTGCTTTGAGTACCAGGTGACCAACCCATCCCAGTTTGCCCAGGACGAAAGGGGTTTCTGAGACACAAGACTTTAATGGCTAAAACGAGGCAAGTCTTAGGCAAATCTGGATGAGCTGGTTACCCTAAGTATAAATCAACATTGTAAGTTTGACTGAATTATTGGATAGTAAAGGTTTGAACTGAAGAGTTTAAATGCAGCTGAAAAGTAACTGAGATAAAACCACTACTCTGCAGCAGACTCTACTAAATTATGATATTCCCCTCACCTCCCACCCCCAGCCAGTTTTCGGTTGCTTTGCATCATTACTCAGTGACACCACAGAATGTATAATTCTTCGTCCCTTCTCAGATCTTTCTCGTGGATTTTATACACCTCTAACGGTAAATGATCAGGTACAGAACGTTGGGTTGGTTAAATCCTGATTGGATACTGATGCTGGCTTCTAAAGTACGGAAAGAGAACTTCACCTTCTGGTACTCTGACTGCCAGCAAACTGGCAAGAGATTGCATCTAGCAGCGTTGAGGCTTGGTTTCAGGGGTAGTAATGTAACTACAGAATTACCGGGTTTAACACTATTGGATTGAAGCTCTGGGTAAAGACTGTCATTTATTACAGGGTTGCAGTGTACAGTTGTGCAGGGTGGGCACTGCACAAGTCAATAGGAACCGCTCACATTTCTGTCTATGGGAAAAGGGCCTCCCGCAGGGCATAATCTGCATGGCTGAAAGGGGTGGCCTTTGTTCTTACAGAACCTGGTAGGTGCGGTAGGGCCCCACACTGTCTGGAGAACCTCTATTCCTGGGCAGTGATTAAGGAAGACAGTGAAGAGAATGGTGGCTCTCCTGCCAGGTACTGATAAATCCAAGAGGCATGAACTATCTGATCTTCTCACTCATCTCTCAGCCCACCTCACATGCTCTGAGCCATTCAAACTCTAACCCTTAGAATTTTGCTTTGGACACTCCATTTAATCAAAGTTCCCTATGTCAACTAGAACAGCGACCTACATCAAGCTCATGTGTACTCAACTGAATCTTCTTGCTGATGCCTAGTGACTAGATTTTAATCTCACAGCTAAATGAATCCCACTTACAGAGGGAAATCTAAGCCCAGAGCCCCGTCTATTCCCATGAAGAGACATCCATCCTCTCTTTCGCAGCCCCCATCAGTAATCTTCGTTTTTAAATTAGTGTCTGGTCCCCATTTCACTGTATCCCTGAATGTCCATACTCCTTCCTACATGAGAGAGGAAAAAGTGGGGCTAATCACGAACCAAGTAGTAATTTCTCAATCTGGGCAGATGACAGAACAGAGACACTGAATGTAAGGCGACATGACTTCAGAAGAAATGGAGATTATTTGGAAATAAACCAGGATTTTCCAAATATCACCTGAGATACATGCTTTATGAGGTTGATTTGGATGGTGGTTATAATTGGGCATTTTTTTTTTTCCTGACACACGGATAATTCCATCTCAGAGAGAGATGACAGGTTCTGTTGTATCCACATTGATGAAAAAGGAGGCTGTCAGGCAAGGTGAAGGAAGGGATTCCATTATAGGGTTTTTTAAAAAAAAATTAAATAAATATTGGGTGTGCTTTATGTCAACAAATGACTAAACTATTTAGAAAGAGATGTAGTCTTCCCTCTTTTTGCTTTCAAATAAACTTAAGAGCCACACATGTTAGAGCAAAAAGAAAGTAGAGAACTTGGTTGTGGTTATGGCCAGCAGAGCTGTCCCTCCTTCGGTGAGTCCCTCTTAAACTTCTTCCTCATCCTTGCAGGGTTTCCTGTATAGAAGCTCACATGACTGTGATTATTCACAATGTTTCACAGGGAACGCATCTTCCTTCAAGAAACCATCAGGACTGGACAGGAATTCCTGGGAGCACCTGATGCACGGCAGTTGCCATCCAAAAAACCCCATCCGTCAAGGAGTTAAAAGGCTTAAGAACATAGTCTAGTTACTCACTGAAGAGAGGATTCTCTCTGTTTAGTGGCTGTCACTGCAGCAGAGGAGAGACTACGTGCAAGTACCGAGCTAAAGGTCAAGTTCCTGCTGTGGGGCCTTTGAACTTGCTTTCCTTTCTGCTGCAATTCTCTTCCTGCAGAAATGTGTGGGGCCGACTCCATGTCATTTGGGCTTAAGCTCAGATCATCCGTCTTACACCCCGTCTCCCCACTCAGTCACCACTGTGTGACATTCTTTATGGCATTTCTCAATGTCTGCAACTATCTTCTTTTATTTTTTTCTTTTTTAACTTGTTTGCTGCCTAGACTCCCTGACCGAGATGTAGGTATCCTGAGAGCAGGGACCTCATTTGTCTTCCTCATCCACATGCCTCGTCACCTAGACAGTGGCTCAGCGAACGACACCGAATGAATGGGTTCCATGCTAAAGTAAGGCCTCACCATGGTTACTACTAAAAGTGACCTGAACCTGAGTTGTCCTTAACTGACCTGTTATTCAGGCTAAGGCAAACATCTCTACTTAGGGTTAATGTTTATAACCAAAATGAATGGCTTTATTTGGTGCCTTAGGTTTACAACGTTTCCATTTCTTTTGTTTCAATAAGCATCTCCCAGTGTATGCTGTCTCTCCTCTTACCCTGTGCATCTGAAGTGTCGCAAGATAAAAAACCATGCTAGGTGGCAAGAAATTTAAAACAGATGCAGAGGTAAGAGGGGAACAGACTAGAATATAAACTGGGGCTGCTTAAGGAGACGGTTTCATTTTTGGGTTTTGGTATTTTAGCTCAGAATGGGATTTTAAGTACCGCGGTGTTGTTTTTTTCTTTTTTTTTTCCACTGCATGTGATAATGTCATCATTTATTTTTAAATGGTTCTAAGTTGCAGATTTAAATTTATTTCAAATCAAGCCCTATTTTAAAATTCCTTTTAATAGGAAGCAATGAGGCATGGACATACATAACCTGCTAGATGTGAAGGACTCAAACAAATACATGTTTGACTGTGAATTCCAAACCCTCACCGAAAACAAAGAGGTAAAAATCCAGCTAAAATGTATTTTCCTTGGTTTAGTCCTTGAGGGAAAGTGTCAAGTATTGCACTTTAAAATTACTTTCATCTGACATTTTTGTCCCAACTTTCCACCTCCGAAGTTACTACTTTTTTTTTCCAGCAAACATGATTTCGGGAATCGTTAATATTAAACCAACTGATTTTTCTAATTCAACTTTGGAGGACTGACTTTAGTCTACAAGGCTATTTTGAACAAACGGCATATTTACTTACAAAATTGGGAGATGGGGGCGTCCAGCTGAGGCACGTTCCCTCCCTTGGCGTTGAGTTTCTGGACTTGGGTTGGGGGCACAGGCTTGTGGGACTGCCCGGTGGCCCGGTACATGGCTTGGACCCACAGGATGCGATCTTGCTCGTCATCGCTTGCAAATATCACGGTGTCTCCTTCTTTGACTGCATTGAAGAAGGCTCGGCCACCCTCCAGACCTGGGTTCAAAGGACAGAAGAACCACTCAGTGGAGCTGCAATGATCTTGGCAGCACTGAGCTCTGAGAAAGGCAGCTTCTGTGTTTCTCGCTGGGCTGGAGAAGGGAGGGCCCATTTATCTGACTTTCGGACAGAAAGTCTGACACCCTCTTGGCCAGGGGAGGGAGTCACAATGTCAAAGAGGTATTTTGAGCCTGGCTTTTGCTCTGCTGGGGGCAAAGGTGTCAAGTGGGCTACCTACTGGCTATAAACATACTAGTATTTTTCTCCCCATCCTTAAAAAAAAAACAAAGCAAACAACAACAAAACACCCCGTGACCCCACCTCTCCCTACAGCGACTGCCCTACTGTCCTTCTCTTTACCATGTGAGGGGATCGTCACCAGGGCTTCTCAGACGTCAGTGTGCATGTGAATCCTGGGCGTCTCGTCAACATGCAGCTTCTGATTCACTACAAGCGGAGCTAGAACCCGGGCTCCTGCATCTCTAGCAAGCTCCCAGATGACGGTGATCGGAGGACTACACCTCAAACAGCAAGTTCTCCCTCCTCTTGGTATTCGTCCCCAAAGGCTTTCCAGTCAGGCTGCTGCCCCGCTGACACATCTTGCCAAAGGTCACCAATGCCTTCCACCTTGCTGAAGCCAATGATCAATTCAAAGGTCTCATATTATTCCATCCATCAACTTACTCTATCCTCCTTGAAAGGATTTCTTCAGTGGCCTTCAAGTCACCTGATTTTCCTCCTCCTTCCCTGGTTACGGCTCCCAGGCTGGTTTGCTGGTTCCTCCTCCTTTAAATGTGGGAGCATCCTGGTCCTCTGTCCTTGGACCTCTTCCTTTCTTCCTCTATACCCAATCCCCCCCGGGGTATGCCATCCAGCCAAATATCATGAATATGTTCAGGGTCCCTACATGTCTACCTCTACCCTGAACCTCTCCCTTGCACAGTGGATGTGCACACCCAGTGGTTTTCCTCACATGGAGGTAGGAGAGACACCCCAATCTTACATTGCCAACCCTGAACTCCTGGTCTTTCTCCCAAACCTCTCTCCATCTCAGCAAAGCTGCGCTCATCCTTCTAGGTGCTGAAGCCCCCCACCTTGGGGTCTTTTTAAACCTTATTGTCTCTCACTGCCCATTCCAATGAAATTCTGAAGGCTCTACATTATAACACTTTATATATATAATATTACATTTGTTACATAAGACATTATATAATTCATATTATATATTATATATATTGCATAAAACTATTATATATATTATATAAGACATTATAACAGAATTTGACCCCTTCTTCTCTCTCCCGTGCTGCCCCACCTGAACTCGGCCATGCTCATCTCCTACCTGGATTATTTTCATAGCCTCCTATCTGATCCCTCTGCCTCCATGTCCTCTCTCTATAGCTGATCCTCAAGATGAGAGCCAGTGTAATCGGTTTAGCACAAGGGTCAGGTCACACCACTCCTCTGCTCAAAATTGACCAGCGGCTACGCATTTCACTCAGAGGAACAGTCGAGGTTCTGACAAGGCCTGCAAGACCCAACATCAACTGACCCTCCACCACCTCCACACTCCCCTCTTACAGCTCGCTCTCATGTGCATGTGCGTGCACCCAATTCACAGTGGCCATGCTGGCCTCTTGAAGTTCCTTGAACCCTTCAGATACATCCTCACCTCAAGACCTTTGCACTTGCTATTTCCTGTGCCTAGAACTCTTCCTCCAGATATCTGCACGATTCACTCCCTCACCTCCGTCCTGTCTCTGCTCAAACGTCCCATGCTCGTTTGGGCCTTCCCCGACCTCTGCCTCTCCTTCCTCATCTCTCCTCTCTTGCATCATTTTTCTCCATAGCTCTTATCACCTCTAACAAATTCTATAATTTACTTTGTAAAGACAGGGAGTTTTTGGTCTCTTTTGCTCACTGCTGCATCCCTGGTATCGAGAACAGTGCGTGGCATAGGGTAGGTGCTCTGTGAACATCTGCTGGATGAATGAATGACCTACAGACTCATCTTTCCCACAGGCAGTTCTCAAGGTTAAAGTTTAGAGAAAAGTAGGCAGAGGCCTCTTTGGGGGCCCAAGCCAGAGCTACACTGTGTCTGTCCGCATCGTCCAAAAGCCTGTGTTTTGGAGTTACTTGGACTCTAGGTCCATAAACAAAGCCTCATCTCTTCATCAGGTTCCTCATCATTCCTCCTCGCCCAATTACCAGTTTCGGATGAGAGGAGAGTAAGTGGAGTGATGAGCATGCTTAAATTTCCAACAAGGCCCAGTCACTAACCATTTATGTTGGAAAAAATTTCTGGTGACGTTAAGACTTCCCCATTGTGCTGAGAGCATTCATCTGGCTGCCCATTCTACAAGAGTGGGGGAGTGTTGGCAGTTTGGCACTTAGAATTGCCAGGGATCCTAGAACAATAAATAGCTTCTTCTTTATATGAAGGGTCTCGTGGGAGAGCATTTTTAATAAAAGGTTTTTGGTGGTTATGATTATGAAGGAATATTTTGGTTCATCGCTTACAGAGAGTTTATAAATGTGTGATTTGGGTAGGATGAGGTGCAGTGAACAAGTCGGGAAAACCTGATGAGACAAATGGATGGTGTCATAAGGAGGACAATTCTGCAGGGAGGGGGAGGAAGAAGAGCTTTGAGGGATCCTTTCAGCCCTGAAAACTGGGCACGAAGGAGCTGAAAGGAAGAGTGGGGTCAGGAGACCTTCTGAAGTCCAGTCTCATGGTAATGTTTGGGATAAACTATTTTGATACTGCAGGTGAATTCCGGGCAAGACATCACTGGACGTGTCCTCTTCCTTGCCTGTCCCCAGCCTCCCCTCCACCAGAGCCACTGTCAGAAAGTCAGTTCATGGGATTGCCCAAGGAAGCAGAGAGGTCGAGATGGAAAGATGCTAAGAATTTTTCAGATTTTTAGTTAATCCTCCCAGCAGCCCTATAAAGTAAGCACCATTATTCCCACTTTATAAATGAGAATACTGAGTCACAGGGAAGGCGATGGTTAGCCCATGAACACAAAGTGGGGCTGGAGGTGTCAGAGCTGGGTTCCTAACCCCAGCTGTCTGACTCCATAGCTGGTGACTGGAACCACGAGCTAGACTGCTCCGGAGCCTGGTGAGCACGCCCCGCACCCAGGATCAGCTCTCTGCGGATTCATCGTTAGCAAGAGAGGGGAGAGTACCGTGGGGTGAGTGGGGCAAAGAGAAACATGTAAAGCAGCAGAAGCCGTGACAGTGACACCAGCGGAGGGCCACGTGGAGCTTTTTCAGTGAGCACGGGAGACCCAGGACACAACAGTGAGAGTGAGGAGAGAGCAGAGCAACCAGCAGGGAACCAAGGAAGAAGGCAACGTGAACATCAACACGAGCTCCAAGGCAGCGGTCCTGGGCAAGGCGGCAGTTCCTGGGGACGGAATCTGCATGACGCAATGTATGACAGTGCCTGGCTCTCCACGGAATGCCCCGCAGGGACTGACCTGCCAAGATCAAGAGGACAGGTCCGGCAATGGATGGAGCGGACCAGGCAAGGAACGCTGGCCAGCTCCCTGGCCGGGGGTTGCCGTTCCAACAACACACACGGACATGGTCTATTTATGCTGGCAAAGTTGTCGAAGATCTAATTTAGTCATTTAAATTGTGCCAGTGCATTATTCTGAATGAATATCCTCTTACGTGAAGACTTGGTTACTTAATCTAATAGGAATCGAGACGATTGCCACATCCTCTCTGAACTGTACCCAGGGAAAGGTAAAATGGGACATTTTCATCTTTAGATGAAAAGGAGGAGCCTGAATGGAAAACTTACTTATTTACCAATTCTCCAGATCAATCTTTCAAGACCCTTAAATAGGTAGAGCGGATTTGGAGCAAATGTTTTTGTCTGAGTGACTGCTGGATCCTAGGCTGGCACAAAGGCAAAGACATCCATGGGGAAGGCTACCTGCCCCGTAAACATCTCCCCCAGTTGGTTCCACTGACAAGCAGGATACAGCTCAGAAGGAGAGGGGGACAGATGGACTCAGTTCTGCTCCATGTGCCCCCTCGCCTTTCAGGGAGCAGCTGGGGGAGACTCCTTAACTCTTTGAAGACACTGGCTAAACTGTGCATCACCTCCATCTGCAGCTGGCAAACTCTGCTGTAGGAAGGACTCCCCTAGAACGCCTATTTAAATAGGATTTTGCCTTCCTCCTCCTGGTTCTTGGTTAGGTTTGGGGTCCAGGAACTACTATTTTTAACAAGCACTCTTTAAGAAATTCTGGGTTAGACTTCTCTCATGACAATTGGGAGTATTTAAATCTCCGTTTTCAATCAAACACTGCTTTGAAAATAACTAGGACTTGGCACACGGAGAGGCAGAAAAGCTGCTTATTATTCTCAAGAACATAATCAATTTACTTTCCATTTACATCCTTGGTAAAGGAATTTATAAAATTATATCCCAGGGGATCAATGTGAAAAAAAAAAGAAGAGAAGCTTTTATAAAATATATGTGCAGTGACTCCTTTTCCATGTAGACAGAAAAAACTTTCTCCCCGCTCCCTCCCTCCCCTCTGTAATAAGAGAATTCTGCTTTCACATGATAAAGTAACAACTCTGGCTTTGCTCTAGCTGTACACGTAGCTACGTTTTCCTGCATGTACCAAAGGGTCAGACAGGTGTACATCTTCCTGTACAAAATGAGATGATAATCCTGGTTCTTACCTACTTGGTGGGATTGTGGTACCACCTAAATGCAATCATCCAGAGGCAAGGAATAGTGAACGGGACTAAAAAGAAGTTAGTGGCATAAGATGGTATTTTTTCCCTTCTCATATTGGCCCTTGAGTCTCCCACTTTTAAATGTGGGTCTTAAGAAAGAGGGTCTTTATTTCCCGGATGGGAACTCAGTGGTTTGAGAAGAATGCAAACCATCATAGAGCAACATGAGGGCAGATTCATTAACGCAGGAACCACAGCCTTTCCGTCAGCTGCTGCAGGAAGCTGTTTCATTCATTATGAGAGATTTCACTTATGTCTTCTGTGGTCAGCGCTGTACCACGCTCTGGCAAGATGCTAATTACCTACGGAAGTCCGAGGCTGGGGGTGGGGTGGGGTGGGGTGGCTGGCCCAAGACTGCTGGGTTGGGATTCTGAGTCTCACGGAGATGCTAAATGCTAATTCTCCCAAGTGGGCTGGGCCAAAGGGCTTCCTCGCCACACCTTTCCAGGTTAACACCCCATCTTCTCTCAAACTCTGTTTTTCTTCTCTGTGTATTTTGTTGCATGTGGAAGAGCAATATGGGAGTAGAAAAAAAGGTTTTGGGCCAAATAATGCAGTATGGTTGGAAATGCTTCCCTTGTGCAGATTTGGCATAAAAATAAACTTCTCTGGGAGAGGGCTGTTGGTGCCTGTTGCTCATTAATATGCTGAAATGATTTCGCACCCCCCCCCCATTTTGAAGGTTCCTTGAAGCGGATTTCTATTCATTTTTTTCTGGGAAAAGAAAAAAAATGGGTGTGGAGGGGGGAGAGGTGTGAGGGGACAGGATATAGAACTTCTGCAATGTAGAACTTATGAGAAATACTACCATTTGCGTGCTTCTCTTAGTTACATAAGGCGGAGGAGCTTGGATGTCAACGCTGTGGATTGGTGTCTTTTTAGGAAACAAAAACCATTTCGGGAGGACTTTCTTTTCAAGTGCCATCAGCTGGCTTCAGATTGTCTTTAGCAAATGTGGATGGACAGGGCAGTCTTGCTTGGACATGGAGACACCAATACCTGCCAGGCTCACACATCACCGGTGAACAATAACACATACCAAGCACACACACACACAGCCCTTGGTGTACATACAGGACGTCTCATTCAGAAATTTCTTTTTAACATTCAAGGGTGGAGGACATATCTGATGCAGGCACAGTTACGTAAAAGAGAAATGTATCATGTTCTCCTTTTGGTTTTACGAGGCTCCTTTGAGCGAAAACAAAGCCCCTGATTGAAGTGGCATTTACGCAACCAGGATGGAGTAAATCTTATGATTCTGTAAGGTCGGGGGGCTGTGGCTGTCATGGGCAGCTGTGTAACCCCAGAAACTTGACTTAGGGTTCAACATGGAGGAATTGCCCACAAACACCAGCTGACTGTTCACCTGGGAAGGGACGGGGTTTTGCGGGCTCATGGCTGAGCGGGTGAGCAGGTACCTGGCTGGGGGTCGGTGTAGTCCACAGTGTAGCCGTCCAGTTGGAGGAGTTCCTGAGGTTCGGCTTTTTTCTCTCGGTAACTGCACATGGCAAACGTGTACTGACTCACCTGTAAAGGAAAAGCACAGGTTGTGAAACTGGTTCCCTGGATCTCATCTTCCTTGGGGGAAAAAAAATCCCAAACCCCTCCCCGTTCAAGCCTGTCCATTCCCCTGAGGCCCTGCACGCAGGAGCCGGGTTCAGATGGAGTTTCTCCACCTCTTGGCTGTGTGACTTGGAGCAAGTTAGGGAGCGTCTCTGATCCTGTTGCTTCATCAGTAGATGGGATATAATCTGAGACCCCATCTTCTCACTGGCTTATGGCGAGGTGTGCATGAGTCCGCATGTGGAGTGCACTTAGAATCTTCAAGGTGCGTGGAAAAAAAACTTAGCTATTATCATGACTGCTGCTGTTTTTAGTGGGTTAAGCTGCACAAAATTGCCATTTGTGTAGGTCAAAACTGGTTGACAAGCCGCAATTTTGTAGGTTGTACCTAATATCAGACTATGGCCCTGGCTGAGAGCTCTCAGATACAACACAAGCCTTTTGGTCAGAGGTTAAGACTTTTCTTTCTTTATGCCCCCCTCCTTTCTCTTACTATTTTACGGTTTGCAGGCCGGTTCTCAGCTCCGAGCCGCACGTTCCGCTCCCCCTCCCCCTCCCCGCGGAAGGATGCTTTCAGTTGCTGTGAAAAGTCTTCCCTTCATCTCAGACAAGTGCCGGAGTGACACGCTGTCACAAGCAATGAGCGCTTGATCTCTAGGTGCCAGAATCGTAGAACCATCCTCGGCCCCCG